TTCGACTATTACATCGAGCCGCATTATTTGTTTTTGCAGAATGTGCGTTTTAACTAAATTCATTTCGCTCTCTATATGAGCACTGGAAGCAGGGACTCTTCCATGGCCGAAAGAATCCCTGCAGATATTTGTCCATAAAGGTAAAGTTTCAACTTTCTTCAATAGCTGTGTTGCGATTTTTGGACATACTCGTGGGTTGTCTTTATTTCCCTCTTCGGAATTCAGTACAGAAAATACGTCGTTTTGAATGGTTAAGCCCCAATCGCGCCAACTGAATCCAATGCTTGATTCTAATTCGTTGTTTTCATTGATTTCTTCATCGTTTTCGGTTTCATCATAAAAGTCTATAGATGGCTCTTTATCTTTTATATCATTGTCTAATGCGATGTCTGTCGTGACTAAAATATTATGAATGAGATTTTTTATTTCAATAAAATTTGGAGTCTCTTCAGTCGCAAGCTGGGTGATCAAAAGCTCTGCATTATTCATTGCTATTGTGGCGTTACCAATTGTTTCACAAGAGCATATAAGTAGTATAGATTTTATAATGGCTCGGGCAATTTTCAAATCTGTGGTTATAATCAATGTTCCAATCGCTATAAGGTAAAATTCTTTAATTCTAGGCCTCACGACTTTCTTCAAGAAACGTGCCCACATATTCATGACATGAGCACAATCATTACGAATGTAACAGGCTGGCATTTTATTAATTTGAGGGTTGCAAGCATTTGCATATTCTTCAACAGTCAAAAAAGGTGTAAATGCAGACGTTATTGCGTTCATAAGAGCTCGAGATTCGTCGCATACCTAAGATAGTTGAGGGAGTTGTATTTAGAAAATTATTGCACATTTGTTATGTGAGTATGGTAATAGCCATATTTAGAAATGTCTTATCATGATCAAGAAATACAAAACTGGTCAAAATGTTGAGGTACCATTTTTTTACCGGCACGGTAATTTCTTTTACAATACATATCAGTTTTGCATGTACATACATACAAGTATGTAAGTATGTGTAGTATATTTCAAATTTGATTTTGTTGTTTAGTTACCACTTCAGCTGGATATTTCGCTCCAGATTTTAACCATTTCTTTAACCACGTTCCAATCGATACTGCATCTTGACATTCGGTGATTTGTCGTGATATTGGAAGGGAATACCTCTTGCACTTCAAACTTAATGTGTATAAAAATAAGTGATGTGATTTCTCTCCGTCTACGTGGACAATTTTTGATGCCACTTTTCCAGTCGCATCAATGCTTATAAATGCGCCTTCTTCAGCAACTTTGGCATTGTAAAGTCTAGTTTGATGGCTGGACCAAAATTGTACGAAAACGGGATCGTATCCGATGTCTTTAATTACATTTTGACCCAGTGTGGTTTTCCGTTTCATTAAAGACAATGATTTTCTTGGGTCAGGATCTAAGAAACGAGCTTTTCTATATTCATATTTGGCATTTCTCAACACGTTTCGACTATATAAGAAGCCTAATTCCTCGTCTCCCTTTTCAGTATCCTCAACAGCTTTCCTATTTCGATATTCGAAGACAGAAGTTTTCTGCAGTTCCTCTGCTATTTTTTGGCGGTTTTCGCTACGAAGTTGTCTCTTCCCGCATTTTTCATTACCCTCTTCTAAGGTGCAAATAATTTTAACGAATCTTTCGTGTTCAAGAGCAGAAATTGTACACTGCAAAACGCCTCCGCAAGAGCAGTATCCTATGTATTAAGAATTATTAAACAAAAAATTATGAAAATATTGATCGAGGTAAGCATGCAAATAATATCCTTTAATTTTTTACGTTTTTATTGAACTATTTAATATATACATAGATTGCCATTGGCAATTTAAATGATTATTTAAATTTCCTTTCTAACCTGTTAATTGTTATTTAAGTGTATTTAGAAATAATCAAAAAACACACGTGATTATTTGCCATAAAAAAAAAGTAATACAAAATATTCAAAATTAAAGAAACTAACGCATAACATAAATTAAATGAAAATAGCTTCTGCTAATTGGAGACCGGTACGATAATCAACTCGGTTCGTTTGAAAATGTAATGATGTGCATACATATGGCTCATTCCATCTCAAATCACCCAGGCCGGCGGAAAGTGAATTTAAGTTTGCGATAAAACTCACAGGGATGGTTCCTTGAACAATTTAAGGAGACACGTATTTTTTCTTTTTGCTCAGAAATGCGAATTTTTCGAATAATGAATTTTTTTCTTTTTGAGTACGAACGCTTCTTTTTTCCTCTCTTAATAGCAACTTTTGATGAAATCGTTTATAACTGCCGCAAAAAAG